AGGCATTGTGGGACATGATGCTTATAAATGATTCCTCCAAGGCATTTAGAGTACAGCAACCTACAAATTCTAGATAATAACAGGGAAAACAGGAGGATTACAACCAGCAGTTGCCATGTCCCTCTTTCAAGGGCAAAGAAGCCATGGGTCACCCTTGGAGGAAGTCTCCAATTGAACCCGCATTCCAACTCCACCAGCCATCTTCTTTTGACCCTCCTCCTGTGAGGAACTTAATTCTAAATTCCCAAGCCAATGTTAGGATCCTCTGGGGCTTGCCCTGAGTTGTGTCTGAACTTAACTTCATTTTCCTAGTTTGTTGGGAGGGGTTAGAGCTCTGCAGAGATGGTTGGAAAGTCTGTGAAGAGAGACGCAGATCGTGGAAACACGGAAAGGAGATGGAGGGTCCTGCAACCCACCTGCAACTACGTACCATGTCAGTTCGACAACATGGTAGCCTACGGACGTATGCTTCTTACACTCCAAGAAGCATAAAAATAAGGAAAAAAATGTAAGGAGAAAGCAGGCCAGAGAAAATGGGGTAGCCTAATGTGAGTCTATAGGGCAGACATCTTATGCAGATACAATAGTAGACCATTTCTGGCTGTGCCTGTGGGAAGATTGCCCTGTGGCTAGAAAGAGGTGCTGAGGAATTTCTATAACTGGGACTTCCAGATGACTTGATTCTATTAATCTGGCAAGTAAAAATGGTCATAAGAGAGATGGAAAAATTTTCAAAGATTTTGTTAACTTGAATTGATATAAAGGTCTTTATATATTAAGAACATTAACTCTTTGTCATGTGCATTGTGACTATTTCCCCCTATTTGCTTTTTGACTTTCTAAGGGGTTAATTTTTTTTCTAAACAGAAGTTGAAAACTTTGATTATTTTTTAAGTATTATGTTTCTGGATTTTGAGTCTTGACTGGGAAAGGTTTCTTTTTCTCATATCCAGTTTAACACACACACGTCAAATTCTTTTACCATTTTATTTTTTAATATTTAAACTTCAGTGTATCTATAATCTTTTGCTGGAAGACCTATAAGAGAATTAATTTCCCATCTCTGCATCTTTCCTGTTCCAAGGCCAGCCGACCCTTTAGTGACATTTTTGGCTAGTATGTCTTTTCTCCGTTATTTTGAGATGCTGCCCACATTCTGTGTTTCCGGATATATTTGGGTCTAATTCTGGATGTGCATTGTCTTGTTGATCTGCCTATTTCGCCTCTAGTATCAAGTAGATTTTAATAACTACACAGACGGCTCTTATTCTCTAATTGGTATTCCCAGGAGGTTTAAGAGGATGTGGTATCAAAAAGGAGCTGTCTGAAGAGCAGGGTAGATTGCTTTCAGATGCAAAACAAAATTACTAAATTATAGGTTTTGAGGGAGGCAGTGAACAAAGAGAGCTTTACAGAAAATACATTTGGTGAGTTTGAGACTAGTTAAGTAATTCTGAAGAAAATAAGGGTTGGAGATTTTGGGTGAAAATGATATGAGACTTGGTATATGGGTGGTGGATAGATGGGAGATAGATGGACAGATGAGAGGATGGGTATATGGGAAGAGGGATGGATAGATGGATGGATGGATGAGAAGATGAGGATGAATAGATGGCCATATGGATGGGAAGAGGGATAGGGAGGATGGATGGAAGATGGGTAAGATGATGGATTGATGGATGGATGGGAGGATGGATGAGTAGATAGATGAATGGATAGATGGATGGGGATAGATAGGTAGATAGATAGATACATACATAGATAGATGGATGGATAGGAAGGAAGGAAGGAAGGAAGGAAGGAAGGAAGGAAGGAAGGAAGGAAGGGTGGGAGGATGATGGGTGGTTGGGAGGATGCACAGAATGGAGGATGGATGAATGGTACTAGATAGAGGAGATAAGGGTTTTTAGAAGAACAATAATGGAAGGAAGAAAGAATTAGGCAAAAAAAGAGAGACTATAATAGCACTTCTGTGTTTGAGGTGAGAAAATCGCTAGTGGCCAGTCTCATTCTTTGTAGTGCAACGCCTGCCCCTGCCATCAGGAACTCTGAGGGTCTCATGCTCAGAGCAGCTGCAAAACAAGTTGTTTGCTCAGAGCAGCTGCAAGCATAGGAAAACAAGGTGTTTACTCCGGCAGGTAGGGGGTCACAGGAAATTCAGGGTCTGGGGGTCTACAGTCCCCAACAATTCTTTACCATTAGTCTGATTGCCATTGGAACCCGCCTATAGAATGACTCTGACCAAAGTTCCCTATGACTTTCATGTAGTTCCGGCCAGGCTCCAAGTGTCCATCCATTCCCTGGGCTGCACCACCAGCTCCTGGCTCCACTATCGCGGCTGTCTTGGATGCCCTGTCCTAAAGGCTTTCAGCACACTGCATCTCTTGTTTCCCCTCTGTCCTCTAGAGGCTCCTCTCCATCTGCCCACTCTCTTGGCTGGGCTACCTGCAAGCTTGTCCTAACCCTCTCCATTCTCATGACATTATCTGTTCTGACTCAGAGGCTCACACTCCCATCTTGTACAAAGGGTGTGTGTTGTTGGTTGTTTTTTATTCTTTGGCTCTTTACAGGGCCTGCCACCCAGCTTCCAAATAAATACACACGGAGTCTTACTCTTTCTTATGAATGCCTGGCCTTAGCTTGACTTGTTTCTTGCCAGATTTTCTTAACTTAAATTATCCATCTATCGTTTGCCTCTGGGCTTTTACCTTTCTCTATTTCTGTATATCTTTTCTTTCCTTCTTATTGCATGTCTGGCTGTGTGGTTGGGTGACTGGTTTCTGGCATCTTCACCTCCTTCCTTTCTTGATCCCCCGTCTCTTCCCAGAATTCTCCTCCTATTTATTCTCTCTGCCTGCCAACACCACTAACCCTTTCTCCTGCCTTGCTATTGGATGTTCAGCTTTTTATTATACCAATCAGGTGTTTTAGACAGGCAAAGTAGCACAACTTTACAGAGTTAAACAAATCCTAGATAACAGAACACAACATAGTTGATATGGCAGACCTAGTTGACTTCCCAGGGGAGACTTCACCTTCTCTGAAGAGCGGATGGGCGAAGAGGGAGGAAGCAGGAGCAGAGGAGGGAGGGGGAACTGGGATTGGTATGTAAAAAATAAATAGAATTTTTTAAAACGCCACATATCTTTGCACCATTAAACAAATGTTCCACAGCATAAACAGATGTAACTCATCTTACACTAGTATTCTACAACAGGTGCGCCTCTGCCTGGACACATCTACCCTGTACTGTTGGCACCACCCTCTTGCCACTGACACTGAATTCAGCTGGTCCCCAGGACCCAACCTAAACTCAGATGTCTTGTCCTTCCTGGGGACCATCATGGTCTCGTCCCCCCCTTGACAGAACTGTTTGCTCCTTCTGTCTACCCGCCCTGCACACTGAGAACAGGGAGCTGTGTGCTTTGCACCACTAGACCCACAGCCAGTGCTCGTGGAGTGTGAAAACCTGCAAGGGCGCAGGAAGGGGCCTTTTGGGATATTTGCTAGATGAGAGTAACTGCCACTTCAGAAGGAAAGAAAAGCTTTTAAAACAGTCTGCCCGCCTTAGTGTTTCTTTCTGTACAGTATATACTCAGTTTTTGAAGTCAGATTTTGTAGTCAGAACTTAGACCCCGCTGTGTGCTTAGGGTCCCCCTGTTGAGCACACAGATAGGCTATGAGTCTCACTCTGGCTGAGGAAACATTTTGTTCACTTCTCATGGTTGCTGGAACAAATCACCCAAACTCAGGGCCTTAAAATAACACAGTTTTATTGCCTGACAGTTCTGCGGGTCAGAGGTCTGGCTCATTTCCCTTGGAGTCCAAATTCAAGGTATGGTCAGGGCAGGCCCCTTCTGGTTCCACAAGCACAGTGAATTCTGCTTAATGACAGACATGCTGAAGTCTGTCTGGAAAGATGCCTGGTGCCTGTAGTGCCAGGGGGTGGTGACTGGCAGGAAGGCAGAGCAGGCGCCTGCCAGAGTAAGTACAGTAGAGTGGTGGGGATGGGCTAGCACTGGCTAAGCACGTTTCGCTGTAGTCTAAGCTTGTCTGGAACTTGCTATGTAGCCTGGGCTGGCCTCAAACTTGTGACCCTCCTGCTTCAGCCTCCCAAGTGCTGTGATGCTCAGTGTTAGACACCTTTGTGATCATCGTGGCTGGGGCAGTGCTACTGGTTTTGAGCAGGAAGAGGCCAGGGAGGCTTGCAAGCATCATCTAATGCGGAGGGCAGACCCACGACAGAGCATAATTCAGCTGCACATGTTAGCAGGTGAAGGCTAGACCCACAACAGAGCACAGTCCAGCTGCATGTGTCAGTGGGTGAAGGCTAGACCCCAAACAGCACAGTCTGACTGCACATGTCAGTAGGTGAAGGCTAGATCCAAAACAGAGCACATTCCAGCTGCACATGTCAGTGGGTGAAGAGACTGGGCTATCACGGACCAGATTTGAATATGTGGTTTCGTATGCTTGGGCTGTGTAGACATGCATATATTTCTGTGACATGAAACAAACGAGACCGGGTTTCCTAATCTATTACTTGTTTTCCAAGCAATGAATGGCCTTTGCACTGTGCACTCCAGGGGCGTCCACGGAGCTAGGCTGCACAGCTGGGCATGGCTTATTTGGACACTTCAGGTGGTTCCCTGCCCTCGGTCAACTTCAGGAGACCAGGAGACTTTGGGAGGTCCCTGCCGGATAAGACTCTAGTCTGTGGGGCAGATGTCCTTTAGAGAGAAGACTCCTTGGCCATCCTTGGACCAACTTTGTTTTCCATTTTCCTTGGCTGGGGCAGAAGTCCTGCTCTATCCCATGGTGTTTTTCCTAGGGTGTGAGGGTACAGGGACAGTATGGCATCTCATCAGCTCTGCTTACTCTGGGCTGTGGATCTGGGCGAAGAGGAGCCATTCCGGCTGGTTTTGTCTCCTTCTGTCTCCTGCTGGATCTGCCAAGGTCATAGCCTGGCTCTAAACTCTGGCTTCTCCTTCCAATTGCAGGCCTGTCCTTCTGATGAGACGAGAAGGGAAGGATGGACTACACGCACCAAACTGCCCTGGTCCCGTGCGGACAGGATAAATACATGTCCAAGTAAGATGTCTCATAGTATTGCTCAGCCAGGGCTGGGGCTCTGCGGGTAGACGGAAGCCACCGGGAGAGGAGTTTCATCTGTGTGAGCAGATAAGCAGCCAAACGTGGACTAGTGGGAGCAGCGGAGGAGATAACAAACAGCTATAGATGAAAACAGTGAACCAGTGAACCCAGCCTGACCAGTAAAGGGCTAACAGGGCCCAGCACCTTTGGGAACTTAAACAAGGCTTCCAGAGAGAGGGATTGGCGGATGGCTGCTTATTAGGCTCTGAGTGTGTGTACCTCCAAATTCCCTGTGAGTCTGAAGCCTGTGGTGATGGAGTGGGATGTGGGCTTCTGTCGGAGTGGAAACCTCACCTGTGGAATGAATAGACTTAGAAAAGCTGAAGGGTGTTGGCGCATCCTTCTGCCATGTGCGGAAGCAGGGAGGAGACATGAAGGACCAGCCCTTGCTGAATGCTAAATCAGCTGTCTCCTCATCTGGACTTCCTCAGTCTCAACTGAGCGATGAAATCCTATTGTTTTGAGGCTCCCCAGTCTCTAGTATTTTGTCACAGCTGCCATAAACGGACACAAACACGGCTCATTGACCCTGCTGTGGTGTTGCCTAGGGAAAGACAAGGCTGCAGTAGTGAGTCATGGACGGCCATGGCTTTGACTAAAATAGGCATGAGGCAGGGTCCTTGGGGCTTGGTGACACACACCTTCAATCCCAGCAATTGGGAGGCTAAGACAGGAGGATTGCTGGTTCAAAGCTAGCCTGGGCTGTGCTGAGTTCAAAGGTTCAAAGGTTAGAGTAACTTAGTAAAATCCTCTCTCAAAATTAAAAAGAAAAAGGAGCTGGGCATGTAGCTCTTGCTTCACTTGCCTAGCAACCCCAAGCCCAGTTTGTTCCATACTATGAGGGAGGAAAAAGAAGAAGGGACTGGTCCATGGCTTCCTATACATTAATGTCTGCGGAACAGGCTTTGTTGATAAAACACCAGAGGTTGAGTAGACATTGATTCCGATCCCCTTGAGATCAAACCCAGGGCCTCAGGTATGAAAGACAAACACCTCACACTAAGCTGTACCTCCAGCCTGTCCTACTGCAAGTCTGACCATATGTCTTCTTGCCCAGCACAGGGATTTTACCTCTTGGATGCTCCCCACCTTTAAAAATTATTTAGCTTATCAGACACTAAATTGTTGTAGACACTACACTTGGCCATGTAGAGCTGCCTGTTCCACGAGATCCAGAACATTCTCGAATCTTCACCACAGGGTTTCCCTGGAGACTTCTAGTGAGCAGGAATTTTGAATAGCACAGCGAGCCTTTGGTTGGGGTTTCGTGGGGTCACATTTTTCTTTAACTCAGTCCAGCTTGCATAGAATGGCTCCTTCACTGAGATTTAACTTGTCCTGAGTCTCACGGGCTCTCCAGTGGGTTTGGCTTCCACTGGGATCCACAATCTCTATTGGGATCTAAAATCTTCCTACTGGCCTGCTGGGTTTAGAAGGGCTGAGCTCCATCACCTCTTCCCTGAGAAGAAGGTGGCACATGAGGTAGGCAGCCTCCCAAGCTGTCACTGGGTGTCCCTCATGGAGTGATAAACAGCAGGCACGTGTATCAGGAGTAGAATATTGCTAGGGTCCCGAAGGCTCCTCAGGCCCATGTCTGTTCACAGCTCTCCAAGGGGTTTGGCTTCTTCCACTTAACGTGAGACACAGGAGCTTCATCTGTGTAGTATGTAGTGCTTTCATGTGTTCATTGCTATGTTACTCCATTGCGTGATGGTAACTTCCTTTATTTATCTGTTCTGTTGATGAGAATTTGCTAAACATAGCAGGGGTTTGTCAATGAACCCCAGTGTTAGGGACAAGCACATCCTCACCCCCTGCAAACCTCATGGCCTGCAGTGAGATGATCCGTGGGAGGGTGGAGAATGGAACTCAGGACGGTGACATCTTTGTGGGCACTGGGTCAAGCCCTCCAGGGACTGAGCCCGTGGTTTACTTTCCTTACACATTTAAGCATAGTAGAACTTGTGACCTGTGATCTTTACAATAAGAATGGATTCTATTGGCTGATAAACAGAGCTGGAGAAGGGTCTGTGATAAACATCAGGATAGGTTCTATTGGTGGATGGTGCCAAGTACATAGGTCTTCTGTCATAGGGATGCGCTCCATTCACTGCAGGATCGTGGTATGAACAATGCTCAGGATATTGGGGAATTCAGGTGGAGGCAATAGAAGAACAAAGAATCACCAGGTTGATTGCCCACTTTTCACTCTGGTGTTCCGGTGACTAAGCATCATTCATTTCCTTCCATTGAAGAAAATAGACTCTTGTGATCCACAGTCTTGGTTTCTCCAGTGCTGTAAGCTGAGCCTCCTACAATATAAGTCATCCCTGTCAACTTCCTAAAAGGCTGAAATGTAGTGGTGAGGAGCAGCGGAAAGGCGGGCTGCGTTCCCACCCGGATCCCGGCTAGCTTACGCCGAAATAATTACACAGAAGCTGTATTCATTTAAACACTGCTTGGCCCATTATCTGTAGCCTCTTATTGGCTAACTCTTACATATTGATCTAACCCATTTCTAATAATCTGTGTAGCACCACGAGGTGGTGGCTTACCAGGAGGATTCTAACCGGCATCGGTCTCAGAGAGGAGAGTCATGGTGACTGCCTGCCTCTGCTTTCTTTCTCCCAAAATTCTGTTCTGTCTACTCCACCCACCTAAGGGCTGGCCTATCAAAAAGGCCAAGGCAATTTCTTTATTAACCAATGAAAGTAACACATAGACAGTTAACCCTCCTCCATCACTGAAAGTCTCAGAGCTTTGTGAAAGCCAATAGCAGTCACCCTGTCCTCACTCACAGCAAGCAGTAGAGAAGAAAGGTCCAGGAAGCAGAACTCCTGCTGGCATGAATAGGGCATTTGTCTCTGAGTCTGTGGCTTATACCTGCTTGTCTGTGGGTTGGGGCAGAATGCTGGAGATGCCAATCTTTGTCTACAGGCTGTCATGATGTTCCAAGCTGCTTCCTAATGTTTATCTTGACCTTGGTCATGGGGAAAGGTACCGATGGGGTGGTTGGTGCAGAACTCTCCATACATGTGGTGTGTACTTGTGTGTGTTTGTGTGTGTGCACACCCATGTGTACAAAGACTCAAAGGACCACTGAGGCCAGTTGGGGGGTGAGCAGGAGAGGGGATGGCTGCTCTGTGATGGATTCAGCTGGTAATGTAATTCTCCCCCAAGGAACGAACTTCTCCTCCATCTGAAGACCTACAACCTGTACTATGAAGGCCAGAACCTGCAGCTCCGACATCGAGAGGTAAGGTGTCCCTCCTGCCGTGGCAAATGACCCCACCAGGACTTAGGATGCCAGTGGGTGTCCTTCTTTTACTTCATTTCATATCTGTCTCTATAGACAGTAAAGAAGCTGGTTCGAATGACTTGTGCTCAGTTGCTCTTGGCTGACTCGAACACATTTTCAAGTGATTGGTACCTGGTGATTTAGTTCACATGGAGAGAGAGCACACGGCGACTTTCAGCTGCTAGGCAAGCCTTGGGGGAACAGAATACAAGATGCAGTGGCTTTTCTGTCTCTTAAAGAACTTCACTTCGAGTCCTATTGCGGGTTAAATTCCACCCTGCTATTAGGCAAAACAGAGGCGCGATGCCAGTCCTGGCCAGCTGGAAACCATATAAACAGCCCTGCCCACATAAAGCCCTTCTCCCCAAGAACACCAGCTGCCCTAGCATTGTTGCATTCCTCTGCCATCTTGTTTTGTCTCACCCTCCCCACGAGGACGATCCTCTGGCTCAGGTTGGTTGATCTCCGAGCAGATGTTGGGAAAGTGTGTGTGGCCCCGCTCTGACACTCATGAAAGCTTGGGTTCAGAAGGGAGAAAAGAAGCCTGACCCTTGTAGGAGGCTAACTGGCGGCTGGGCTGTGAGCGTGGGTCGAGCATAGCTGGCCTGTTTCTATCCTGGATTACTTTGTGCAGCCGTGGATGCGCAACCTGGCAGAAGACTTAAAAAAGAGAGAGGATTTATTCGTGCTCACATTTTCAGAGGGCGTGGTCTACGCATGGTTTCATGTGCCCAGGTAGAACATGCTAGTGGTGGGAACATGTGGTAGGAGAATTTCTTCACCTCATGGCAGGTAGGGATTGGAGATGTACAGGAAGTTACTTCAGTGACCCACTGCCTTCAGTTAGACATCCTTCTTACGGTTTCCACCAGCAAGGACCCAAACATCTAGACCATAGCCTGTGGGAACATCTTGTAATCAAAGCAGAAAGCCTCTGTAGCTCCTCTCTGAGATCTCACAGGATTGGGGGGCTGCACTTAGGGAGCTTCTACATTGGACTTCTTGTTAGTCAACAACCTTTGAGTATAGCTTTGGAATTCCTAGATGATTTATTCACCTCCTGGGAAGTGTCGGGGTATGTTAGACTGTGACAAGCACAGGGGAGTTTTGCTTTAAAAAATAATCAGGTCAGCCCGGCAGCTGGCAGACACTTGACACCTTTTAAGGCAACAGTTCTGCTCCAGGAGCGCGTTCTGTAAGTAAACTTGGGGAAAGCGTTGAGTCCCCATTACCCAAGTCAGGTTGGATTGCTAAACACAAGGGGAACAGCCGGCTCAAGGGTTTTGTTCTTGCTTCTAATTAGTAAGGGCTGTCTCTGTTATTTTAAGATCCTGAATCTCTCTCCCTTCCTCCTTCCATCTTTGTTTTTTTCTCCCTCTCTATTCCTTTCTTCTTTGTCTTTTTTAATTAGGTGCTCATTCTGTAGTTTATACTGACCTGGAACCGATGGCAATCCTCCTGCCTCAGCTTCCTCAGTACTGGTACCAGAGGTATGAGCTATCATACCTGGTGGCCGTTATATTCTGATTTCCTAAAAGCCATTAGGTTAAGGACAATGAAAGGGTTTGAGGAATTGCACACGTGCATCTCAGGATCAAAGACACAGGGTTTTGGGAGCACATTGCTGGGGAATCTTCCACATGTTGCCTTCGCTCAGCTCAGTCCCTTCACAGAAACTTTTGTGACTCTGACCTTTGAGGTCAGCTGCAGAGAGCCAGGGACTTCACAGCACACCACTCGCATCCCATGGGTCCACTCTGGGCTCAGCACCCTGGTTGTTTCTTGGCAGGAGGAAGACGAGTTCATTGTGGAGGGGCTGCTGAACATCTCCTGGGGGCTGCGCAGGCCCATTCGACTCCAGATGCAGGATGACCACGAACGCATCCGTCCGCCTCCATCCTCCTCCTCCTGGCACTCTGGCTGTAACCTGGGCGCGCAGGGGTGAGTGATGGAAGCTGAGGTTCCTGGTCCAGTTCCTAGAACCCCCACTGCTGCCTGCCCTGGGTTTGGGATGGGGAGAAAGGAGCCTCTGACCTGACTCCATCGACAGAGTGAGGAGGAGCAGTTCTGAGTCAGCAAGGGGAAGTGCTAAGGAACGGGGTGGCAGCGGGTCCTCCATCCAGGAGAGCCCTGGGCTTTCCAGGGTTCTTCTTAGTCTCACTGATCCAAGTTTCCAGGCTTCTGAGAGGGCACCAACCCACACACATCCTCCCAGCTGGATTTGGGCCTGCTCCAGGGACATCTAGGATTTGAACCTGCTGACCAAAGCTCTTTCAATCTTGGTGGAACCTAATAGAAGAAAAGGAATGTTCTGTCTGGGGCAGCCAAGTGAGGTCAGCCAGGGGTCTCCTGTACACCTGGACCAGGTCATAGCACACAGGCAGTAGTAGTCTAGGGGGGTCCCTGTTGGTCCTCACTGCAAGGTCCGTGATCTCCCACCTCCTGTGGCCAAATGAGCAGCTGGTTGCCAGCACCCGGAAGCTGTTTTGTTCTCTCTGGGACTTCAGTTTTAAGATCAAGTGACTAGCCTTGTTCCCCTTGAAACTTGCTGAGGTGGGTGGTGTTCTGGTCAGAGCCTGGGTGGAGTGGGGATGGCTGCTGGGCCAAAACCACAGTGACGTGCTTTCTGCTTTGAAGGGGAACTGAGCCTCCCTCTCTGCTGGCTGCCTGGAACATTGTTACATTCCACAGCCAAGTGTATCATTCTCCTTAGTTGAGAAATATCTACAGAACGGCCAAACCCTCGAACCACCTTGGCTCTTCCCAAGAGAACCAAAGGAGGGAAGTTGTTGCTCCGCCCACTGGGCATAAAGAAGCCTTTGCCGTACTTGAGTTCCCGCTTATCTAGACCCTCGCTGCTCAGCCTTGACCTCTAGATTGTTACATTCTGTTCTTCGAGTGAGATGGGTTTACAAATCCCATTTCCCCAGGATGCCCCGACTTGGAGCTGCCCAGAGACCCTTTAGTTCCCATTCTTGGTTTTTCTCCATTCCCCATGACAACAGGCTGGTTCTTGAAGCCTGTAAATATTTTAAGGACTTTCAGAAGTGTGTCCCAGATGCCAGCATAACTAAAATGTTGTGGAAAGGACTGTGTGTGATGCCAGCGCCAGTTACTGCTCCTGACCCCAGAGAGAGGGGTGCTACCTGGGCCAAGCGCTTCTGTGTTCTAAAGGGCACAGACTGAAATTTAGACAGCTCTGAGGAGAAATTCTTGCAGCTTTTCAATTTTACTTTTCTTCCCTTAACACCATCATTATAGGAACACAGGCTTTAGGAAGCCCCTACTCTTCTCACCTTGGTCCTTGGCGTCAAAAAGGACGCTCTCTTTAGACCAAATCCCCTTTTGGGTTTGGATGTGTTTTTCTGAGCTGCCTCCACTTCTCTTTGGGGCTCCCAGTTACCACAGCAAACCCGGATCTCAGCTCAGGTGACCTGTTGTGGTCCCTTCTCCAGCTTGCAGCCCTGAGAGCATTCATCACTCATGAGCCATAGATGCCAGAGGCAGTTTCTGAGATATTCTTCCAACAGAAGGCAGCCGAGCCTGGAATCCTGAGAAAATGAGTTCTAGAACCCCATGCATGCTTTGAGACTCCGTACAGACCACACACAGGCATTGTTCTGGGCCTGACGGATTGAGGGCTTGTGCTGCTACAGAGGTGGGGCCGGACGTCTTTCTCCTGAGTTCCTTGCCCCCATCCAGCACTTAAGATGGGTCCAGACTAGCCCCCTGGATACCCAGCACAGTCTGCCTGTCTCTTGCTTGCCTGATATGTGCTAATGCCCTCCTACATGGCATGTAACAAATCTCCCATTGCAGGAAGGGGGCCATGAAATTGGGACATGTCCTCTCAGGGGCTAAACAAATCTGTCCTGTGTGTTTGCCACCTTCAGCACCACCCTGAAGCCCCTCACGATGCCCACCGTTCAGATTTCAGAAGTGGACGCGCCCACTGACACCAGCGAGACACCCAGCCCCACAGGTATGTGAGCTCCAGTTAGAGGCCATGTGGGTGACAGCAGCTGTGTTTTAACCTGTGACTTTTTTGTATAAATATATAAAATCCACATGAATCAATATCTTTTTTTTAAAAAAAAGTTAAAAGGAAAGAATTTAAAATCTCTCTCCTCCTCCCCTTTGGTTTCCCTTTCTTAAAGCAAGCTGCAGCATCCTTCCTGATAGAACAAGCAAATGCATGCAAATTCATACAAATCCAAGCAGATGGCCTGCTATCACCTCCTGGAGTGGTTATGGCTCCTTCTCATCCTCTCTCTAGACGAGTGAAAGCATCTGTCGGTAGCCCCAGTCCCTCAGGCCCCTCACCAACATTGGTCATTTGACTTCCTGTCTCAGTGACTTTGTCTGCTCTGAGCACCTCTTGTGAGCTGACTCATGAAGTACACATCCTTTATGACTGGCTGGTTTCAACTCAGCGTCAGACCCTCAAGGTTCTCCCTGGCTGTGCCCTGAGGCAGGTTATTTGCAGCATCTTGCATGCCCTTACATCAGGCTTAGCCTGAGTCCGGTGCTGTCCTCAGCCCTGTTTTATGTGTCAACTTACTTACACCCTCACTATGATTCCACAAGCAGAGGCTCTCGTTACCCCTCCAGAAAACGGAGGCACGAGAGGCCAGGGAAACGTGGCAGGGATAGAGCTGGATCTGAGCCTGGGGGGCTGGCTCTGAGCCTGTGCTTAGAACCTGTGCTCTGTTAACTCCTCAGTAAATTACGTGCTGTGTCTCCTCCAGCAGAAACCACTTTTATAAAACATGTTTCTGGGGAAACAGTGGTGCCACAGTGTCAGCCTTGAAGGGAATCAGGCTCCAGCAAACCATCCATCCCCCCCCTTTCTTCTCAGACCCCAGGGGCCTGAAGCCTGTGCAGGAGGACACCCCACAGTTGATGCGCACACGCAGCGATGTTGGGGTGCGTCGCCGTGGCAATGTGAGGACATCCAGTGACCAGCGGCGAATCAGACGCCATCGCTTCTCTATCAATGGCCATTTCTACAACCACAAGGTAGCGGGAAAACCTCAGGGACATCGCTGCTTTCTGGGCATCCGCCACTTCAGTGCTGTGGCCATGTGATCCTGGGGACGTGGTCCCAGGGAAGCCAGGCATTTTCAGTTCAGTCTCAGGGTTGTGAATGAGATGGGAGCTTTGCTGGCTTCTTGAGATACTCAGTACTGCAGGTGAGGAATAGTTCCCACTAGGTGTGGGAGATTTCAGAAGCAGCCTTAGCTTTCAAAACTCCATGTGCACATCTCACGACCCCTCTCCTTGTCTTGGCATGTCCATCTGTGTAGTTAATTCCTGCTCCCACCCCTGGCCTCCCCCAGCACCCAGCACCCTGTGCTTTCCTCCTGGTATGAGCAACAATGATCCCCACTTCATAATAAAAGTACTAGAGACTCCGTAGAGAAAATACAAGAGTTTATTTCAAGACTTTGCAAAGTCAGTGGCATGCTAGAGAAAAGGCAAGAAGGCTGGCAGGCCATTTGGTACAAAACAAGGGTATTTATACTCCTAATCTCATTTAACTGACCCTTAAATCCCCAATTGGCTGAGATCTTTAGAGAGTTTAGAATCTTCCCCGAGTCTAGTATTGTCCCCTCCCCAGATTTCCCATCCTATCAGCTCAGGATGGAAACTTGTCTAATTTCTACCCGGGGACTTGAGTTTCCCTCCTTTTCTGGTTCCATGGCTCAGTCACATAGCAGGCAGGCTGCCTGTAGCTTTTCCACCGCTAGGCTGAACTGAGAGTGCTCTGTCAATTAAGTCCTGGCGCCAGCTAGAGAAGACAAGGGCTTGGCGCCTGTACCTGCTGCCTCTCTGTGCTTCTCTGACAAGCTGTCAACGCACTCCCTGAAAACGGACCATGACGATTTCCTCTCTTCTCTGCTGCCCTCTGAACCCTGAGCTGATGGCTGTTTTTGAGCAAGGCTACAGGTGGCAGTTCAGCTCAGGGACCCCAAGCTGGCTAATCCTCCCTTCCTTTCTGCTGCTTAAATTCCACCAGAAGCAAGTGCATGTTGGGAGGGTGGCTGGAGACCACCTCACGCACAAGTGCATGGTGGGAGGCTGGTCTCGCAGAGGAAGGGTCTGTGTGGGTGTTTTGCTTATCTGATCTCATCACCAACCTTGCTCTTTGGAGCTCAGACCTGAACTTGCCAGGGAAGCATAGTCTGAGCTGGGCAAACCCTAAGGGCCACTTTGTCTACATCCATGGATGATGCTGGCCAGAGTGCCTGGGGCTCTCCTCAGCACATTTCGAATGCTGTCCCTGGGCCCCCTACTCGTTGGTTTTGATACTCGGTCCTGTCCCCACTCCTGCCCTAAACCAGACTCCTTTGTTGACAGACATCAGTTTTCACACCAGCTTATGGCTCTGTCACCAACGTCCGCATCAACAGCACCATGACTACCCCCCAGGTCCTGAAGCTGCTGCTCAACAAGTTTAAGGCAAGTTCTCTCCACTGGCTGTGAGCCTCAGGGCTGTCAGGGTGGGGGGTTGGGTGGGGGAGCCTGCCAAGTTTTCCTTCTCTTCTACAACCCCGGATCCATTGCCTAGAGAACGGTGCCATCCACAGCGAGCAGATCCCCCGCCTCGATTAGCATCAAGATAACTTCCGCAGACCAACTAATACGTGAAACAATCCCACACCAGTTAGGATTTAAAGGGGTATTTATTTTTTGGGGTAAAACTTAACAAAACACCAACCATCAGGAAAGGAGTCTAGTCGCTGGAGCAAGCTCCGGAACCAAGAGAGCAAGCTGAGGCTTGCCAGCTCTTTTTTAAAGAGCAATAGACCACGCCCCGGTGGGCTAGTATTTCAGCGGCTATTGGCTGAAGTAGCGGAAGGCGCTCCAGCAGCACCCAACAGACTCTAGACATCCTTCTCTGGGGTTCATTTTCCAGTGATTGTGTCAAGATGGCAATTAAAACACCAAGGATTGATTATTTATTTATTTATTTTTTTGAGATGAGACCCCATATACTGGATTTTTGAGACAGGGTTTCTCTGTGTAACAGTCCTGGCTATCCTAGAACTCACTCTGTGAACCAGACTGGCCTTGAACTCACCACCTGCCTCTGTCTCCTGAGTGCTGGGATTAAAAGCGTGCATCACCACCTCCCGCCGAGACCTCACTATATTGCCCAGATTGTCCTCAAACACCTGGGCTCAAGAGATCCTAGGCCTTTAGCCCCCTGACTAGCTGGGACTATACGTGTGAGCTTAGCTAGTATTCTTTTTATTTTTTTCCCAATGATTTTATTTTTATCTGTATGTTCAGTTCTTTCGTGGGGCTAGGACTCAAATCCAAGTCCCCACACAGAGCAACAAACACCCTCAGCCCTTGTATGCATGTGTTTTTAATTTTTTGTTTATTATTTGTGGATGCGTGCATCATGATGTATATGTTCGGGTGCATGTGCCACGATGCATTTGCAGAAGTCAGGTGACAACTTTGTGGAACTGATTCCCTCCCCCCGCTTTTGTGTGGGCCCTAGGGATCTAGCTCAGGTTGACAGGCTTATGTAGCAAGCACCCTTGCCCACCTCACTTCTGACTGACTAGAGGGTTCCTATTTTTCATGGAAGCCAGTGAACCCAGGACGCAAGGCTCTGAGTTTGGGTCCCTATGCACCACCTGCCAGACAGCTGAGTGGGGCAAGTTGCCTTAACCTGTCTGTGCTCTGACTTTCTTATTTGTAGGAAAGTGGTGCTCACTCTCATGTTATGGAATGTCACAGTATGAATGAACACATGTTAAGTATGTGGGCTTCCCATTCTGATATGTGTTAACTATTCTGGTCCAAAAGCTTGAAATCTAAAATGCACAAACCTTAGAAACTAAATGAGCAATGACATGACTCAGTTGTCGCCTCGGGTCTCAGGTTTTGGTAGAAGGAAGCTAAGCTGGTAAAGCTCCTGCCAAGGTCCACAAATTGAAAACCTCTGAAATCTAAAACATCCTTCATTGCAGATGAAGGATGCTCTGCTGCTATTATCTAGCGTGATTGACAGTTTCCTGCCTGTTGCATGTCCTCCTCGGTTGTAAACAAAAGGTCCTTACTTTGTAGAAGCCTAGAGATTCAAAGAATGGAGGGAGGAGAGGGAATGGCTCAAGGCTGGGATATTTCACTCTCTCTCTCTCTCTCTCTTTTTTTCCCTCTTGATTCAGATTGAGAACTCAGCAGAGGAGTTTGCTCTGTATGTGGTTCATACCAGTGGTGGTGAGTCTGAAGGGCCCAGTTTGCTTCAGATCCTTTAATTAACTCAAAATAGCAAGTTCAAAGCAAAACCCCCTCTTCCTTCGTTGATGTTTCCTAAAATTCTAAATGTTGTTTGTCCCCAAGCCTGGTGAGCTTGCGGGACAGGTACCCCAGGGAATGCCGTGTGGGCTGTAATACTAGGTCCTCAAACTTAACTGCCTATTAGAAAATGAACTGGATCTTCTCTGGAGGCAGATGCCCAGTTCCTCCTGAGTGGCGTCTTCCAGAGGGTCTGAGGCATGGTAGTGTGTGTGTATGTGTGTGTGTGTGTGGTGGCAGGGTCTACTTTTAACAACACATATGTTGAGTAGTTCATCCCAACGCAGTCTGTCTTGTGTGGTTGCATCTCCTAAGTTGCTTGTCCCATTTGGACTCCGGAGTCGGCCACCATTCCTGGTAAGAAGGCTCTTGGGCTTAGCTCAGGGTGCCTTGATTCTATCACTTTCAGAGAAGCAGAAGCTGAAGAACTCCGACTACCCCTTGATCGCCCGCATCCTCCAGGGCCCCTGTGAACAGGTCTCCAAGGTCTTCCTGATGGAGAAGGACCAGGTGGAGGAGGTCACCTATGATGTGAGTCCCTTTTGCATGGTGGTTGGTCCTCACCAGCAGGGGTCGGGGGTGGCGGGGGAGGAGGCTTATTGGGTTACAGTGTGACTTTTTTTACAATAGCTTTGTCCCTATGGTTACCATGCTTTCATATCAAATTCTTTTGACAGTAGTTGAGGATGGGCCCTTTGGGGTTTATTAGAGGAATGAATTTCTTTAGACTCCCAAGGGCGCTGGGACCCTGAGGACTTTGGAAGCATGCTCCCAACACTGAGAACTCAGCAGGGAATTTTTTTCCTTGGGTGTTAGTACAGTAACAAGCACCCCCAAATCCAAGTACCTTATAACAGTCACTGTTTTTCTCATGATTCTGCTAGCTGATAGCAGCAGCCCTGTGCTCGGCTTGCATGAGTTTATATCTTATTCAGACCCAGCCGAAGGGCAGTAGCTTCCTGGGCTCTCTTTCCCAGGACAGGTGGTTGGAGCATGAGAAACCAGTACAGGGGCTGTGGGTAAAGAGCTGTACACGTGTGAGGACCTGAGTTCGAATCCCCAGGGGCTGTGGGTAAAGAGCTG